ACAGGTAAACCTTACCACAAAAGTTAAAGCAAAAATCTGGGTTCCAGTGAGGTACTTACAATGGAAATGCCTACAGTATTATAGTTTATTAAAGAAAAAAAAGAAAAAAGTAAACTAACTCAAATAACTAAAAACCAAAGTTTTAAAAAACTTTTTATTTTAGCTAGCCACCAAGGCAAAATTTATATTTATTTTGTTGACAAACTAAAATAACTAAAACTATTAAAAAAAATACATTATTAGAATGCAAATTAGAATGTGTCCTGTTTAATTTTATTAGTAAAAAAAATTACTACCATAAATTTGTACCATGATTTACAGAAGACACCCACTCAAGTCATTCAGTTTAACAATAGTTCATATTACAAAAACTCTTGTCAGCCATAAAGAACCAAAATCATTAAATCACATTAAAAGACTGATCCTTTAAACCACTAGGTTTTACCTATTTGTCAGCTAAACGTTTTAATTGTTTAAAATAGAATACAATTTAGTATAATCACTTATTCTTTATATATTTTAATAAGTACAGGTCAGAATAAGTATGCGGTTTCATTTTTACATAAATATTTGTGTTACGCTGAATGACGATGAAACATTATTTCACGCATATTTTGACATTTTATTTTCACAAAAGTTATTTGAAACTTTAAAGTAGACACTTTACTTGCATTTAATATGCATTTTGTGTATATACAATCACTTTTGTAAATTTAATTTGAGGCAGACACTAAAATGGTACGTCTTGTCTTTGACCTATAGACATATAAAAAATGTTTTGCAAAAATTCACATGAAAATGGGAAATACATAAACTAATTCAAAATAAGAAATCTATTCTATCTCAGTGATAATAAAATAACTCTGCTTTAAAGTGTGCTTATAATGTTAATCAAGTGTTTTTGCATCACAAATAATTTATTCATAATTTAAGTGATTTACACTGTAAAGAGATTGCTGTAAATTTTACAGTAACCTACTGGCAGCTGGATGCCAGTAAGTTACTGTAAAAATGGTTACAGTATTATTACTGTGTTTTCATTTACAGTACTATAATGTGCTTAGGTTTTGCAATTTTTTGCATTCCATATATTGCATTTTAATATTCAAAGCTATATTGAATTTTTTTCATGACAAAAAACCTATAAAATTCATGTTAAAAATTGAACTTTTATCAGAATTAAAGTGCGTGCTTTTTATAAAATCAGCTTCACATTTCTGCTTTTAAATGCTACAAAAGTCACTTTCTCACCATAACCCTGCACTGAACCCAGAATATTCCTCTAAGAAGACATGACGACATTTAAGGTAAGTGAACAAAGCGAGCAGTTGATTCTCACTGGATTTTAAGGTGCGCTGTGTGAATCTCTTGAGAGTGAACATTTGGAAAGATGACCAGGAGATCAGACGGAGAAGCCGAGGAGCTGATAGTAGCTAGTGTTCATTAGAAACCCTGCTATTTCATTAGGATGTGACGGAGCAGAGCTGACAGGAACCACGGCCCTCTCCTAAACCATGAAGAGTACAGTGCAGGAGATGAGGATGAACAGGGAGATTTCACAAAGCTGCTCACTCTTTCATCTAGCTTTCATCTGAACATAAGAGGAGAAGAACTGAAGGACACAGACGAAGGACACACTGTCGTGATGAGCGAAGCAGAAGTGTTTTAAAGGGCTCATATAATGAAAAAATCTTTCTGAACTACTTTCAGAACTCTGAGTCAAAAAGCCCTTTATTTGATACAAAGGCGCAAAAAACCACTCATTCTGAGAGACTATCTGGATAAAAGTCAGCAGACAGGGATAAAAACAAACTAAAAGTCAATCTCATGCTTTTAAGAGCATCAGGCACTGGTAAAGAGTTACTATAATATAATACAGAGATATACTATGATATAATAGTCAATAGAGATAGGGGTATTTTGCTCAGGCTACAGCATCTACCAGCGGGGGTTAATCTCTGATCCTAACTGGTCATATCTCGATGTCTTGGTTGTTGTCAATTTCACACGTAAAAAAAGCATTTACATGAGAGTCAAGGTACAACAACAAAATGGCCTATTAGATTCTAATGCAAAAAAAAAAGTAAAAAATAATCACCAACTGTAAATTATAGACAAATTACAAAATGTGTGATGCAGTAAAACTTATTAACATTAAAAGTGGACTTTAAATAATACAAATAAAATAAAATAAAAAAATAATCCCTTTAATATAAAAGAACAGTATGAAAAGTGAAAACAAAAAAAATACGATATTTGACTAACTAATTTAAATTAAATCACATCAGTAATATGTGACAGTTATACTGTTAATTAAATTAAATTAAATTAATAAAGCAAACTGTCACACTTAGCCTATGGCGCGGAGCGAGGAACGAGGAGAACAGGAGTACACGAAAAACAATAGTCTTTTAATTAAAAATATCCAGGAAGTAACACTTGGCAGACAGGAACACGGGAAACACAGGGGTTGACGTTCAATCTCGGACAAGGACAGACAGCACAGACTCGAACTTAAATGCAAGGGATAATTAACAAACACGGGTGTACTGAATGACTAATTAACTGGGAAGCGGAACACATGGGGAAGAAACTGGGTCACAGAGCACAACAAACAGTCCAGGGGACACGCGGTGTTGAGGCTGGCGTCATAGAACGCGCAGAGTGCGTCGTCCGGATAGGTGGTGAGATGGGCCACCGCCTGAAACAGTCTGGTATGACCCTCGAGCGAATTTTCCCCCTGCTCCAGCAGGAGGAGGATGAATTCGGGGCGAAGGAGGGGATCCATAGGGGCACACAACGGAAACAAAAACACTGAGAGAAAAAACACGGAAAACAAACGGAGGAGAAAACACGGAGGTAACTGTTTTGGTCCGAGATTCTGTCACACTTAGCCTATGGCGCGGAGCGAGGAACGAGGAGAACAGGAGTACACGAACAACAATAGTCTTTTAATTCAAAATATCCAGGAAGTAACACTTGGCAGACGGGAACACAGGAAACACAGGGGTTGACGTTCAATCTCGGAAATTAAAGCATGTCAACATATTCTGTTACACCAAATACACCAAATAATGATCTTTATAAAAGCATCATATGACCCCTTTAATCTCCTAATTAATATCCTTTCCTAATTACACCTCTAAGACACTTCATAATGAATGACTGCAGTATAATATTAGATTTATGGTTCTTTTTTCATCTGTTTTCTGCTGTTTACAGAGCAGAGGAGAAAACAGGTGAATCTGTCACGATTACTCTATTCACTTCCAGTTCTTGATTTTAAACAGCCCTCAACTACAATTTCACCCGTTCAGACTGCAATATGGTGGAGGTGAGGAAGTGCACAACAGTGTAAAAAAGTGGACACTTCTGATTTAAAAACAACACAGTTGCTTCTCAGTGTATTCAGATCTGTTTCCATGTGCTGCGAGAGACTTTAGACACCTTACTTGCGTGTTTTTTGATCGATTTTTTACTGAAGTTGTTGCAAAGCATTCTGGGATTGCATTGTCCATGATGCTGCCTTAAGGCACGTTGACCCCAAGGATGATAACTATTATAACTAACTAAAGATGATTACTAAGTTTTAATAATCATTCTAATTCTATGAGAATAGTGAAGTCCACACAACAGCTATAACCATAAAAACAAGAAATAACAATATTGCTGGAATTGCTGTCAGAATGATTTTTTACAGCTGATGAACAACATTGACAGCCAATCAGAATCCACCAACTTTAAATAGTTTGAGCATTTAAAGTGACAGATGACAAAACTGCAGTGCACACTTTTAATAAACGGAATCATTACATACGGAATTATCAATATGTGTTATGACACTAATATAGTTATCATTACAGTTAAAGGCAGGGTAGGTGATTTGGTTTAAAAACATTTTTTGTTATGCTTGTTGAAAGTCTCTTCACATCTTGACAGCAGTCGTCTAAATGTATTTATATGTATTTATTAGGGATATCACAATTCTCAAAATAATATTCAACCGTTCGGTACAACATCCACAGTCCAATATGCGCTTGTGAATTGCAGTTTTTTCGTTTAAATAATTTCCGTGGGTTTTATTTATCTGTTTGTGTGCCCCTGAATCTATGTGCTGAGATGAGGAAACGCTTCCCCGCTTATAACGTGCATTTGAAAAAGCAACAAACACTCCTGAAATGACTTGTAATGCGAAGCATTTCTAAACCTGTTGTCCAACAAAAGAGAGGATTATAACTTGTTTTTACTTCTCAACATCAGTCAAGTGTTTGAAATAACTTCCTTTTGTAATCTGATGTGGCTTCTTATCAGAACAAGGCAGAAAATATATTAAATACTCAAAGTCCCTTTCAAGGAAAGTCTGTTCACTCTGCGGCCATATTTGCAACGCCTCCGGGCAGCTCAAACAAGACCAAGTCCTATCTAAATGAATGGGGGAATCCTGAAATCTCAAAAACTGCTCGCTGAACTCACGATTAAATTACATATTTCAAATAAGCAACAAAATCTGAAATGAACTGCGCCATGAACGTTGTTTCTTATGCTCAAATGACGTTTAAAAAGTTTTTTACAGCACTTTATGCTTCCATCTGCAGACAAGCTTTATGGAGATGCTGATTTCCTTTTCCAGCAGGACTTAGCACCTGCCCACAATGCCAAAACCACTTCCAAGTGTTTTGCTGACCATGATATTGCTGTGCTTGATTGGCCAGCCAACATGCCTGACCTGAACCCCACATGGAATCTATGGGGTATTTTCCAGAGAAAGATGAGAAACAGTCGATCCAACTGTTTAAGTAGACTGTAGTATACCGGTCCACTCTGCTGTTATGCCAAGGACTTTTTTGCTCATGTGAGGATGATCTTTTCTGTCTATATGCGAATGCGTGTAAAGTACAAGCCTAGTTTACATTATAAATAATAGATGCACAGGACTTCCTCTAACGTCCTGTTTCTATGCCTTACACATCAGTTCTGTGACCCTGAACGAAATAAATCACGTGTGTCGTTTACCATTAGATTCGGGTGTCAGTGGGTGGTGGGCAGGGCTTGGCTCCAGACGACTGACAGTGAGGTCAGACTCGACCCCGCCCCTCTTGTTTAACATGCAGGTGTAGACTGTGGACCCTGAAAAACACAAACGGTCAAGATGATTACACTTCAGTTGGGTTTACCACTGAAACTATGTGGTCAGACAAGGCAATGAATGTCAATGAATACTGTATATATGTGAAGAATAGAAAAAAGAAAGTGAAAATGCATGCACTCAGTGTGCTGGATGGAGGACTGAATTGACAGACAGAGATTCTCACCTGGAGCTTTGTTGACATCAGCTGTGAACAGCCAATCAGCTGCCTTCTTTGCATCCGGACCAGTCAGGTAAAACTTACCAAAGTAGGACATATCAAACACAGCTACAGCATTCCTGCAGCTCAGACACTCGTCCCGAATCTGGCATGAAACAAAAATGTAAAAATGTTTAAAAACATTTTAAATGCAAAATGACAAACAAAACAAACACAAAAGAAAAGAAAACAAAATGGAAAACAAAATAAAATAAAATAAAATAAATCAAACACAGCGACAGCATTCCAACAGGTCAAACTGAATCTAGAATTAAATAAAAATATAAAAATAATTTTAAAAAATATTTTAAAAGCAAAACAACAAAAAATACAAACACAAAAAATCCAAAAACTAAATAAAAAACACAGCTATAGCATTCCAACAGGTCAGACAAAATTTAAAACACATTTTAAAAGCAAAGCAAAGCAAAACAAAACAAAAACACAACACAAACATTAAAATATTATGAATAAAACAATAAAATATCAAACATAGATAAAGCATTCATACAGGCCTAGAATTAAATAAAAATATAAAAAAATTTTTTTTTTAAATTTAAAAGCACATCAAAAATAAATGAATAAATAAATAAATAAATGGGAAAAAAAACCTTCAAAAAACAACGATAAACAAACACAATACAAAAAAACAAAACAAAGACAATCAATTAAATGCTGAAAACAAACCTGTTTAGTCATTCAGACAAGAAATTCTTATGGACAATTGATGCTAGAAACACTCTCAAACACACATGCTCACCGCATCATGATGTGGAGGGAAGTCAAACGTATACTCTTTGCCCAGTATCTCACTGTATTTGTAATCAGTGTTCTTGGGAACATCATAGGCACCATAGTAATCATAATCCAGAACCTGAGAAAAGTACAAATCCATCAATCGTCATCTGATTCAGACCTCAGAGGTTTGAGTTGGTTTTATGTGTCACAATGAACACAGAACAATTTCTGCCCTATAGAATGGTGCATTTGTGTGTGTGTGTGTTGAAATCTCACTGGAGCAGGTCCACCCCGGTTGAACCATCCGGGTCTCTCCCAACCGTGTCTCTCCTGAAACACACAGCCCTGTTCCTGTAGCACCTGTTAAACAACACAACCATCAAATATCAGGCCAAAAATAAACCTCAATCACTGTAGCGCTACATTCATTGCTATATCGCCACTGAAAATCTTATCTTCATTGATCTGTGTTTTTTCTGTGATGTATTCTACATTGACGTCGCAACTTCTGCTGATTCGTCACAAAGATATGTTATCTAGCTGGCTAGCGTAGATAAATTTAGCTGATTTTGAGAAAATCATTTGCAATAGTCTTGAATGCATCAGTAAGAATGTGCTAAAAAATTATAGATGTATCATTTCCATATATAAATAACATTTTACATTCAGTATAAATAACATTTTTATGAATACCAACAGTTTTAATGAACACTAAAATGTTTGAATTAAAACTTAACATGTAATGAAAAATACAAATATAAAAAATATAAAAATACTAGGGCTGTTGATCGACTAAAAAAGTATTAAGTGCAACATTAAAATGTATAACCAAATATATTTTCACACTGATTTTCAAATTAATGTGGAAACAAAGTCAGTATTTAAAATATCTGATATTTAAAAAAATGTTAAATGTTAGTACTTTTTATTAAGTACTATAAAAGCAAATATCAATGACACCTACTGATACTGATGCTTAAAATGGATTAATATTATATCCATAAAAAAAAAAAATTCTTTAGGATAAAATTAGTAATTACACCCATGCAACATTGCAGTCTCATTAAAATGGCAAATTATAAGATTTTTTTAAATTTTATTTAGCATTTATTAACAACTCTGCATTTATTTATTTTTTAACACATTAAATGGCAAATATTTGCAGAAATTTGCAGAAATTATTTTATTTTCCCTAAAAAATACATGTTGTTTTCCACTTGACTAGAAACCCACTGACATTAAAACTACAATCAAGCTGAAATATCAGTAACTAGATCAGTTGGCCAACTTAGATTATGTGCCTTGCAAACAATCATCAAAATCATATTTGTAATGCATTTTTGAAAGCTTCCTCTGGAATTTGTACATTTTTTGAAGAAACTCATTGCCATGCTCAGCCAACTTTCCCAGTATTTTCTAGGCAGCTGGTAAGGTGTTGTGAGCAACTGTTTTCTTCACAATTTTATGGTGTCATTCATGTCTGTATACAAATATACTGAGGGTTAGGGGTACTTAATCATGTAGGTAAAAGTAATGTGAGCAGAAATGCAGTTTAGGCAGTACAAACTTGTCCAGACAAGAGTTTCGGATGTGCTATCCTTCCCTCACGCTTTTGTTTAGCACCGCTCGAAATAGCCCGTCACGATTTCACCAGCTATTCTTGAGCTCTAAAACAAAAGGAAGGAACTGGTCCACCCTCCATCCCGGCCCCCCACACAGCACCAGATTCTCTCTTTCTGTCTCCCCGGCCAGAGAAACACCGGTTGCTAGGCAATTTGCCCTCCTTCCCCAGGCTTTTTGAAGTCCATACATTTTTCTCCTGGAGTAAAGTATGAGCTGACGTGCTTTTCATGAGTCACGCACAGCGGCTCGTCGTCTTATCCAGCATGAAACGCTAGTATTTATTGTTTTTGATAATGATAAGGCTAACGTTTCTTTAACAGGCTCAGGCTAAAAATATTATTTGCAGGAATTAATTCAGCCGCTGTTGCCATGCCAATGAGCCACTAAGGTACATGTTGTCCATGCCGTTACTTAACAGAGCAATTTATAGAAGTGTTGTGTCAAAATACACACTCTTAGGTGCTGGTAGACACTGAGAAGAAGAAATGCAAAGCAGAAGTTTCTAGAGGTAAAAACAAACCTGACAAGGATCCTCATGCTTACAAGGTTTGCTGGATTGCTTTCCTGAGCATATCATGTGGTGTCAGTAATAGAAAGCTTGGGAGTTTAAGGAATAGTTCACACAAAAATGAAAATCTGTCATCATTTATTCACCCTCATGTTGGTCAAAATCTTCAGTGGGAGACAAAAGGAGACGGTCAACCTCCAAAAATCACAAAAAGTCTTTCTTTAACAAATGGATAAAAACTAGGGCTGCACAATATTGGAAAAAAAGTGATGTTGTGATATCTGTTTTTTTCTGTGATATATATTGCGATTTTTTTTTTAGGAATTCTCACAAAAATACTTGAATAGCTATTTTTTGGGAAAAAAATCATTCTAGAATACTTGTTTTTTTTTTTTTTTTACATTTTGTTATTATTCTTCAAATGCAAACCTTTTAACACTTTTCAACAGAATAAAAAAAAAAATACAATCCTGGGTTTTCATTGGTGCATTCCCACTGTTTTTAACCCATTTAATAGACTATAAAATAATCTGATTTTTATTGTCATTATAAAATAATCAGATTTTTATTGTCATTATTATTGAATAAAAATATTAAACAAAATAATAAATAAATTGCAACACAACTATTTCGCTGTAAAACAAAAAAGCAGGAGTATTTAATAATACATAATTTTATTTTATAGCACACTTTAAAATTACAAGACTACATTTCTTTGTCTTTTTTCATTTTCAAATGTTAAACCAAGCTTTTATTTTGGCGGTTTGCATATATAAATATATGCGCTGCCAGTTTCAGAGGGAAACATGGCACTACATTAATTTACACAAGAGCAGCTTGTGATTTCAGTACTTCACATATATTTATGCATATATTTACACACATATTTACATATACACTGTAAAAATGATATGATCAGTAAGTCATGGCAACTTATGTTTTTACATGAACTCATCAAAATAAGTTGATCAATTTAAACTTTTTTGTAAGTTTTGTAACTTAAAAAATATAAATATATAAAAATGTATAAAATATAAATAGTTTTATAATACAAAAAAACTTGTAAATATATTTTTATATAATATTATTTATTATATAGATAGATATTTTTTGTATATGAGATTCAACTCGATTTTTTAAGCCGGTTTAATGTAATTTAAGTTTAAATGACTTGTACATCCAAGTTGATTAAACTTAAAACATTAGCTGCTACCTTAAATTTTTAAGTTGAAATAGGTGAACATTTTTTACAGTGTATTTAATAATTCAATTCACGATTAGCAATCGCACAATATTTTGCAGTCCTAATAAAAACACACATTAAATGGAAAAGAACAGCCTGAACATTCTTTAAAATATCTTCGTTTGAGTTCTACAGAAGAAAGTCATCAGGTTTGGAATGAAATGAGAGTGAGTGAATGATGACAGAATTTTCATCTTTCCTCTAACACAAAACGCTGCTCAACGTTTCTACATATTAATATGAATGAAGGGTGAAAAGTTAACTTTTGAGATTAGATGAAAGGCGGACGTCTTTTTAACCAAGTTATATCGGTATCACATCCCTTTGCTAGCACTTAGCTGGATTAGCTCAGGAAGATTTCCAAGTTGGAAACAGATTAAATATTCAGGAGGAATGTCTAATTTATAGTCATCTTAGTGAGGCTCAGTGGTCTAAATGAACGCAGAGTGTTATTATTGCTAGCTATCTATATTTCAGCAGGCTATTATTCACAAGGATGAAGCCTTCTTGTGCGGCTTCACGCCTGGAGCCTAGCCAGAACAAAGCGGTATTTTTGGAAACACTTAAGCATCATCTTTTTAGCAGTAGCTTAGCAACAAGTCCTTCGAGCCCCACAGATGCTGGCAGCGAAACACTGGCTAATAGATTCACACATAAGACTTTTGGCTAGCTAGGTGTAAGCCAAGTTGCCAAGTTGTGAGATTTCTCAACTTAAATAATGATTTACACTTAAAGGGATGACGTTTTGATGTAATTAACACAATTTGTTCTCGGGACAGACTTGTGGAAAGTTTGTAGTCTCAATACGAGCAATTACAAACTGACAGGAAGACGGCTGAGAAAGCAGGAAACTGAGACAGAGAGAAAGAGAAAATGAGGAAGACGCATTTGTTTCCCATTAGTACTTAGCTACATTATTCTCTTGATGAAGCTAATTGAGCTCACTGCTAAAGGAGCGCTAACAGCAAAAAGTACCATATACCTGATATGCTCTGGTCATATTTCACTACAAAATCAATAGAAAATGAAGGACCTTTTTTTAACTGAGCCATTATTTTCATGACCTTAAATTCAGTTTAATTGTTACCACTGCTATGTACTACCATTTATACATTTGTGGTTGTTATTTGACTTTTTATAGATTTATTTAAAGAAATATAGAAAACACTATTTTTGTGAAAAACTGCTATACATTTTTTTCATGATTCTTTGATGAATAGAGCTTTTTTTTAATAATTATTCAAAATAAAAATAAAGTACATTTATGTAACAATGTTAAAGTCGTTACTGTCACTTTTGATCAATGTAATGCATCCTTGCTCAATAAAAACATGAATTTTTAAAAAAAATAAAAAATAAAATAAAATAATGTGTTGTTTTTTTTTTGCATTATTGTAATGACAACGAGATTCTCTGCATTAAGGTGTGTGTGTGTGGGGGGGGGTTGTACTTTATTGTCATTATAAATAAGAAAATGGAAATGGACACAATGGAAAAAATACTTCTTTTGGACTGATGCACTGCGACACCCGCTGAGTGCCATTAAACAGCTTGGAAGATCAAAGACAATTTTTAATATAACTCCGACTGGATTCGTCTGAAAGAAGAAAGTCATATACACCTAGGATGCCTTCAGGGAGAGTAATTTATGGACTAATTTTCATTTTTGGGTGAACTAACCCTTTAATGTGCATGCATGTATAGGAAATTATATTTGATTGTTATGGACAGTAAAACAAAGACGTCGCGAGTCAGTGGTTCAAAGGGGATAAAGAGAAGTAAGAGCAGGGCTGAACCTGGTGGAAGGGGTCTGTCCTCATGTTGCGGCTGGCCAAAGGTTCATCAAACGGGAAAACTACTGAATAGTTTTTGGCATACGACTCGTGACTTCGCTCTCGGATCCATCGGTTGTTGTTGGTCAGGGAATGGTGGAACCGCCTGAGACAGAAAAAGAGAGATGAAATAAGAAACTGAGACACACATACAGATACGTCACATCATTTTGAAGGCACAGGAGTGAATGCTAGCGCAGGCTGGACAGTGAGCTCAGAGCGTCCTGAATGCAGCTGACCTACGTAATACCTCTCATCTGATGTCCTGAGCTCAGGTTCATGATGCTCCTTGCACAGATGCGATTGTGCAGCCACTGAACACTGCATATTAACAGAACCTGTGTGTGGTGTTTCTAATACTCCTTCAGACTCAAGTAGAGCTGGCAAACAAGAACGGACTCTTATTTAGTAGAAAGCATGATCTTCATGATGTTTGGTGCGGTTAATGGTTCCTAAATGTCTGAATTCTTCCACCAGTTTGGACAAAACACCATTTTAAAATATGTCAGTATAGTTTTATTTAGGGCTGCACAATTTTTTTTGTATAAAATGTTCTAATAAAAAAAAATCACAATTTAACATGATTTTTAAAAAAAATTTGTTAAAAAAAAAAAAAAAGCTCTAGGTTTGCTGTGCTTATGTGTGGGGCTGCACAACTGTGACAGTTTTAATAATATTTTATTAATAATAATTAATATTTAATTATTAATATTATTCATTGTTTAAGAATTCATATTTAAATTATTAATAATAATGAATAATAATTTACTATTTTAAATTTCACTGTAAAATAAAAGAGTATTTTAGAAAAACATAATAATAATAATTTTGAATTAGGACTGTAAAATTGCATTACATTACTACTAATATTTATGGTTGTCTTAATTTCTTCATGTTTAATTGTTAAACCATCCAGCTGTTATTTTGGCAGTAAACCGAATGGATGGCTTCTCTAAAGTTTCTCTTTTGTTGACAACAGCTGGTTAGCACTTGACTCAAACTCTGGATAAGATGCAGAGATTAGTTTGTGCGGAGCATCATTTACTGTGAACTGAGCCAAAAACAAACAAAAAGACTAAAAACAATGGATCATGAGCTACTCACATGTAAATGAACATGAAGCAGTGCTTCACTCTAAAACATGCAGTGCATATATTAATTAATTTGCAGCTCTTATGATTTAATAGTCACATTAAGTCATATTGTGATTTTGGCTTTATTTTGTGCAGCCCTAGAGTGAATTGTAAACTAATCACATTCACAATCTTTTAGTAAATGAATGAGAAAGATTTAGAAATGAATAAGTTACTGGTTTGAATCATCTAACAACTGACTGACTCATTAAATAGTCCCAAAAGCAACTATGGTCGCAAGTTCCGTCGTTACCAATATACTTCAATGGAACTAACGACCTTAGTTAGCTAATGATGCTTTTGGGAAACGCCCCCCAGAATAGTTCTTGACTCACTGAATCGCAAATAATTACTTATGTCACGACTAACTCAAAATGTTGAAATTCACCATCTCCCACTGGTCGGAAAAACAGATAGTCCCATCTCAAACACAGTAAATATAAAGTAATACTCAGAGAAATGCTTGTTTGCACAAAACGTACCTGATATCATATCCGCACATGTCTTTCTCGGGACGGCCGTGATTGATCCAGTGAGCCAGCTCTTTGCCGCATCCTCCTCCTAACATCATACCTGCCAATCAAATCACAGAGCATACGTCAATCATCATCATCCCGCCACGTTCATAACTGTCAGTCAACTTTATCCTACTTCAGACAATCAAACTTGTGTTTAACAACTTACAAAGTACCTCTCTAGAAACAATGTGACTCACAGCTGCCAATCAATTCATCACGAACGGTACCCAGAAGAGTTGTACCGTCAGAGCGAATCAATCTTTGCCAGCTCTGAGCAGACAGGAGAGGAATAATGAACAGAAGCAGAGGAATACCAAGGAGGAATGAAGGACATCGTGAAGTGAGAGACAAATCAAACGGGGAGTGAAATGAATGGGCGACAGGATCTTGGAGTGTAAGAGTCACGGCGAGCGCCCGTGGAGATGTTGGCGGTGTCTCTAAAGGACTTTTGGCTCATTAGCTGGCTGATGACTTCATTAACATTAGCCAGCAACCACAGAGTTGCTGAGTAATGCTCGCCTTGAAGTCCATGCCACATCACTGCTTTATCTCTTCAGCATTTCTAGAGCACTCATGACAAAGCAGAGAGATGCTGCTTATGGCGCTGTCTTAGATGGCATTCATAGACAATGTGTTTTTGAGTTTAAAAACGTGAGATGCAGAAGAATGAAAAAGGTCTAGAGACACGTTTTTGAAGTTTCTTGAAACCCTGTCAAGCCTGACATATGAAATAACAGTCAGAAAATTCGATTTTTTTAAATGGAGCAATTTATTGAGCCTTTAGAAAAAATATTTGTAAAAAGTTTGCATATGTTTTTTGTTAGGCGTCATATTTCATACATCTTTTATGGCTTGTTTCCACCACAAATTCAAAAGGTAATTGTGACTTTTTATCTCACTATTTTATCTCACAATATTGATTAAAGGCCCGTTCACACTAAGAACGATAACTTTAAAGATAACAATAAAGATATTAGCGTCCACACCAGCGAACAATATCGTCTGCCGCTTTAAATTCTCGAGCTCGTTATAGCAGGGTGGATTCTGATTGGGTGTCAATGTTTTGATCGTTCGTCAGCTGGAAAAAATTGTTCTGAAAGTGATTCCAACGATATCATTTCTCTGTGCCTTTATCGTTATAGCTGTGATGTGGACTGTGCTATTCTTTAATATTGAGAACGATTTTTAGAACTATATCTTATCTTTATATTTATCATCCTTGGTGTGAATGGGCCTTAATTCTCGCAATTCTGAGAATTAAAAAAGTCAAATGCAAGAATTCTGCTTCTTTTTTTATTGTAATTCAGAGTTTATATCTGGCAATCAACTTTTTTAATGTGCCAAAAATGTGCAATTTAGTGCAGTTACTGATATTTATATAGCAAAAAAAGTAAGATAAAATTCTTGCAGCTATAGTAATCAATTTTATAATAGTATAACAGACTACTTACATAAAATGCATATAAATATCAGTTTGCAATCTATATCTCCCAATAATATTTCTTAGTAAGATGATATTTAAATGATTATTTCATGATCAAAGATCTGTAGTTCTTATTGTGAGGGCAAAATATATCATGTAATACAAAGATGATTGAGAGATGAACAAATAAACATTCCTCAAAAGCCTGATGATCATATTTGATACTTAAACAGGATTTTCCTTAAAAATTATACATGGATAATCAAGTAAACCTAAGCTTCAGTCCGGTAAATATTAATCTTGAAAGATTACTAACAATATCAAAGTTATTCTTTTTCTAAGTTTTATTTATGGGCTTTTATGCTTTTATGGAGAGGAAAGTAGAGAGCAGACAGGAAAGCATTGGGTGAAGAGGACCTCGAGACTGGAATCGAACTAGGGTCGTCGCAAACACAGTTGGTGCACAAAGCTATTTCCGCCGACATCAAAGTTATTCTTATGTTTACTTTATAAAATCAAGGGTGGATGTTTTAGCGATTAAAATAAAAGGCCTTTTACTTGCTAAAAAAGTATAAACTATCAATCAGATGACAGAAAGATTGTGAACAACAGGTTTTTCAGCAAAGTTTTGATCATGTTTATAATTTAGAGCCTGTATGTGTCATGCACGAGACTCTGCAAAAGATGCAAGAGCAACGGTCAAACACGTCTGTTTAGCGTGTTTACATAGAAAAACCCCAAGGAAAAAAGGAGCACAGTGTGATGCAAAAACATTTTCTGTCTGAACCTGCACATAGTGCTATTTACATCACCAAGAACTGTTTCTGTTGAGAACTGCTTGAAAATTGTACCTCCCACCCAACCCTGAAACTTCCTCAAGGCGTTTTTGAGTTAAAGATTCAGTTCACCCAAAAATGGAAATTCTCATCGTTTACTGACAATCGTGCCGTTCCGAACGTGACTTCCTTTCATCTGTAGATAGAAGATAAAAGAAGATATTTTGAAGAATGTCTCAGTGTTTTTGTCCATTCAATAAAAGTGGGGTCCATTTTTTTCTTTTTTTGACTTATACTGTATTGACAAAACAGAAGAAAGGAAGTCATACAGGTTTGTACCAACACAAGGGTGAGTAAATTATCATTTTTATTTCTGGTTGAAATATCCATTTCATGTGACTCGTTGCCTTTTCCAAATCACCATTAGAAACATTTACACCTCTAGAAATGGCCAACCAACCAGATTTCAGTCACTGACTTCAGCAAGCTCTTGCCATTTTGTGAGCAATATGCATCAGCCTACAAACGTCCTCGATGAAGAGTGCAGCACACGAGCCTCCCTGATGACTGCAGAGCCTCAACAGCCGTTAGTCTGTGGTCTGTGTTGAGCTACAGTTGGAAGTCTTGGGGAAGGAATGAGAGCTCAACATTGCATGAGTTAATGCTACAATGTGGATAGACTTTCCCGTCTATGATTTCCTCTCAGGATACACACACACACACACACACACACCAGTTCTCTTTCTTCATCAAAGCAGCGACCAAATCACTAGCGGTATTTCTGCAAATGTCAGGGGAGATGAGAAAGAAAACAAGGGGGAATAAAATGAAAGAGAGAAGGAGGTTGAGAGAGAAGGATGCTTCAGAGCGCTACATAAGACAACCTGATCACATAAATGTGTGTGTAGGTGCATGAGAATACATGGCTCTGTTTCAAAACCAATAACTGCCTACATAGGTAGCTGCCTTCTAAGACAGCATCCTAAAGGCCCTGACATACTTCAAGTGAAATGTGTGACAATTTCAAACAAAATCTGGCCAAAACAGGTGTTTTGAGGTTTGTTTCCGTGGTCTGAAACATCTCGCCAGCACAAAATTTCCAGGAAAACTTCCCGCTGACTGTTTAACACCTTTGAAATGCCATTGGTTTATGTAATAGGTGGGTGTGGTTCTGTGGCTCCACCTTCTTTGACTCATAATTCTTTTCAGGTTAGTTTGTTCACTCAGTCGGTCGAGGTCAGACACAAATAACATTTTTGTCACCTTTTGTTATTTTTTGGTGTGTGTTTGTTGTGGTATTGAGAGGAAAGCGCACAGCACATATTTACATATTCATCTAAACGCTAACAGTATATCATTGCGCAGTTATTTCATACTTCTATAACTTTGCAGCAAGTTTTAACCGTGAAACCTCATGAAGGAATTGATTCAAAAAGCTTTACACACTGTAGGCAGCAAATGATATGAAGCCCATAGCAGCTTTAACCCACAACTGATTTAAGTGTAGTTCAATGTTAGCATGTTGCTAAGCTAACAGCTGATCCAATGTTTATTACACTGAACTATTTTTAGTCAATACTTGTTATTTGGTTAATTTCTCTCTTTGTTGACCATCTTGAGTGATTTTTTTCTCCACTGATCTTGCTGCATTTCAGGATTGCTTTCTCCCCAAAGGCTGCATAAAAACAAAGTTCTGTCATGAAACTCTAAATGACGCAGACTGATAGTTTCTAAGTGAATCTGATATAATCACATTGTGCAGCTGATTGGTTTCTTTTCACATCAGCAGTCAATAAGCTTGCTGCTCAACATTCAAATACTTGGCTAGTGCTTGCTTTAGCAGTTGCAGTGTGCTCCGAAACTCTCCACTTCCCCAGCTCCACCTTATAGATCTGCTATGGGTTAATTTCATATATGTTATATACTGTACAGGGGTTCTTTCATACATGTTATATGTGCAGCAGCAGTATTTCTTACATGCTCACAGCAGCATATCTGTGGATGTACTGGCAGTAGCAAGTCTTGGTACTTGCTCTGTCGCGGCAGCAGTGCAGCAGATCTGTTCCACCAAGTCCAAACACATTAACATTGTCATGCATATTACCATGCTAAACTCTCAGAGAGTTGCCATGGCAGAAATATGATACTTCCTGAATGTCAAAATCTACCGTAAATGCTGTCTAGGTAGATGGCTTACTAGGTTTTGAAACAGAAGCTGCATCTGAAATGTAATACTGTCTGAATAGGTACTACATTTATTGATGAACTGAGAAAATGCTCATGCTAATTTAGCCTACTGTTAAAAATACTAGTGATGCACCTAAATACATTTTTTACTGAAACACCAAGACCAAATTAAAGTTTTCATTTAGCCGAAAAACAAAACCAAAAATTTATTTAATAAAAATGTGTATTTAATAATCAGTTAATGAAATGTATTCATAAACCAACAGTTAAAAAACATATACTTTTTAATTATATAATTATGTTTCTACTCTAATAGTTGAAATAAAAAAATAATAATTGTTGGCTGTAATAAAAACTTGTTTTCATTATAGATTTATTCAAAAACAATAAAGACTGAAATAATTTGGTCAATGATTCCACCCTCCAAACTCTTTAGTTTGAAATCAAATAATTTCCAGCCCAATATTTTCAGTTGCCAAAATCTTGGTGCATTAGTAATAAATACAGAAAAAATACTAATTCAGACTGTTTTTTTGCCTACTATATAGTAGGGAAGTCAGCATATTCAGATGCAGGGAGAGACTATGTGTTTTTCTCCAGAAGGGCAGCAGCTCTTAGCAATCACATCACCAATGGGCCACCATCTGCCTCAGATTGACCTCTTCTGCTACCACACACACACACACACACCAGGTACACATCAACAGTCTGGCCATTTAACCGGTTGCCCTGAAACTCTTCAAGACAACTTTCACTTGCATATTTGTCTGTCCCTGTTCAATGGTGTGAGAGTAGCATTGAGAACAGAGAGAGGGAAGAGCCAGACTGAAGACAAACGTGCAGACACGATGGTCATGCATACTGATGGACACACACATAATAATAATATCCCACAGCTCTGATGCAATCACACCCAAGGAGAATCACTGATCAACATCTTAGGCTGTAAGTACCAGGCTAATACCCACTTGAAGCACTTCTCATTACAGTTTTGACATTCATGAGGTAAGCGTCTCTGTATTAGAATGCACCATTTTTCTCAAAGAGCAAAAGTTGTGCAATTAATCATGGATTTCAATGCTTCTTTCAAGACTGAATGGTTTATCTAATGGTTTAAGGACGATATAATGGTTTGTCCAAAAATGAATAGTGACCTATAAATGAAAATTATGTCATCATTTATTCATCCTCATGTCATTCCAAATCTGCATGACCTACACTACTGATAAAAGTTTGGCTGTATTTATTTAATGGAAAAATACAGTAAAAACCGTAATATTGTGAAATATTATTACAATTTAAAAGAACTGCTTTCTATTTAAATATATTTTAAAATATTATTTATTCCTGTGATGTAAAGATGAATTTTCAGCATCATTACTCCAGTCTTCAGTGTCATGATACTTCAGAAATCATTCTAATATGCTGATTTGATGCTCAATTATTATCAGTTATTATTGGTGTATTGGTAATATTGTTATCACCGTTTTTGCTGCTTAATATGTTTGTGGAAACTGTGATTTTCAGAGGTCTTTGACGAATAGAAAGTTAAAAAGAACAGCACTTATTTAAAATACATTTTTGGTAATAACAAAAGTGTCTTCACTGTCACTTAGAGCAATTTAATGCATGTTCACTGAATAAAAGTATTAATTTCTAATTATTAGTTTAAGTAATAATCTCCAAGTAATCATTTTTTAAATCTTACTTAACCCAAATTTTTGAATGTTTCACAGTTTCCACAAAAATATAATGCAGCACAACTGTTTTCAACATTGATAATTATAAGAAATGTTTCTTGAGCAGCAAATCAGCATATTAGAATGATTTCTGAAGGATCATGTGACACTGAAGACTGGAGTAATGATGCTGAAAATTCAGCTTTGATCACAGGAATAAATTACATTTGAATATATTAAAATAGAAAATTGTTATTTTAAATTGTAATAATATTTCACAATATTACTGTTTTATTGCATTTTTTGATCTAATGAATGCATCATTGGTGAGCATAAGAGACTTCTTTCAAAAACATTAAAAAAAAGCTTGATTATTCCAAACTTTTGTCTGGTAATGTATACAAAAAGAAAAAAAAAACAGTCTACACATTGAAGTCAATGGGGTGCAGACAAAAACAGCTCTACACAGTATAAAGAAAGTCAGGTTTGGAACGAGTAAATGTGTCTGAATTTCGACTGGTACTGTATATCATATAACATAACCAATCACAGCTTCTTGTACTCCTTTCGTTCCAGGAAATGAGTTTTGCATGCTGAGGTCAGGAATCGATGCGTCATAAAAAAGCAAGCATGCGTCTAGTATCTGATTGTGATTCGTATGGCCATGTATTCTGATCCGTTTACACGATCATGGCCTGTTGTCCGTCAGCATGTCTGAGGCCTGCAAGGTGACCCGGCCCCAAGCTGAGCACAATCAGCATTACTCCAGATCCGGACTGAGTTTCATCTGACCTTCAAAATCACGAGCCATCTGCATCCAAAAATACCACCTCAAAATGCTTTCATTTGCATTTTTTAGCTTGCATTTAAATGTAATGTAACAAGGACTGGGTGATATAATACAAATACAGTACAAATAAAATACAATGAAAAATAATCACATGAAGCAACATCACGGTCCAGGACAGTCGCTAGTGAAAGACTGTGCACTGCACAGGAAGAGATGGATATTACTACAGCAGACTGGATGCTTAAGTACTGGACACGCAGGGGTCAGAGATCAAGTTACGTTGATCTCGAGTAGGTGGCGTGTACATGGAGAGTGGGTGGGATTGGATTTTGCATGTGAACTCTGCAGGGTTTCAGGGTTAAATAATTCATTTGGCACTGGTCAGCTGTGGAAGAGAAAGGTGTGTGTATGTGTGTGTACTGTATGTGCGTTTAAGCGCCATGCTCTTACCTGCACTGTTGAAGCCACATCCAAGGAAAAAGCCTCTCACTTCCGGCGCTTCACCCATCAGGGGCTTGTGGTCTGCAGTGAAGGATTCTGGAGGAAAACAAACCAACAAAGAGAGTAAAAATACACTTCCATTTCAAAATACATTACCATTCACTGTATTTTTAACCAAAACTACAGGAATAAACCTTATCTTTTAAAATAAAAGAGATCAGTTTATTACGTTGGCAAACTTTAACGTTCTCAACGCAAAACTCTGCTGCCTCTCAGATCATTAAAGGATAAGTTCACTTCCAGAATAAAAATTTCCTGATAATTTACTCACCCCCATGTCATCCAAAGATGTTCATGTCTTTCTTTCTTCAGCCGCAAAGAAATTAAGTTTCTGGAGGAAAACATTCCAGGATTTTTTCTCCATACAGTGAACTTAAATGATGGCAGAGCTAGAGCAAGCCGAGTATTTGTGGTTAAAAAGTGGATAAATATTAATTGTTTTCAGAAAATGAACGATCGTTTCGCTAGATAAGACCCTTATTATTCCTTGACTGGGATTGTGTAGAGCCCTTTGAAGCTGCATTGAAACTGCAATTTTGGACTTTCAAATTGCTGGCCACCATTGAAGTCCACTATATGGAATGTTTTCCTTAAAAAACTTAATTTCATTTATAATATTATAAAAGATTTCTATTACAAATAAATGCTGTTCTTTTGAACTTTCTATTCATCAACGAATCACATTTACCGCGAACGAGTGCGAGGAAAAACAAAGGCCGCGAGTGCAAGAGAGATTGAGAGGTGAGACAGAAAAAGAGAGATGAAGAGCAGAGACACACCTTTTCCATTACTCCACATGAGAAAGTGTTTTCCACAGCAACATTTGCTCTTTGAGAGCAAAAGGAGAGGGTGAGGCTGCAGCTATATTTTATTTATCCATCTTCCTCTCCTCCATTGCTCTTATTCATACATCACCACACACACACACACACACACAGCTATCGCCTCAGAGAAATGACCGAAGCGCTCTGACTGCCGTCCTCAGAGGTCACCTTGTGGTGTCAAACACGGCTTCAACAACAGCAAACCAAAGGCTTTAGAGCACGAGAAAGTGACTAAACATGATCCAACTGAGAATGTGTGGTGCAATCAAACCCTCCAAACTCAAATTACAACACTTTAGAGTTGATATAGGAAGTCCAAAAGTGAGATCATTAGTGAAAATGCTGTAAATTTATCATTTTTAATAAATTGCTTGATTGCAAATTCTATTATTATATTAACATTACAATTTGAGCAACTTCTGCTTCAATGAATGAAAAATTAATATTTTACAAAATCTTCTTTCTTAGTTAAAAAATGGTTAATATTAGATGAATCACATATTTATAATGTGGTCCAAGTTTTTTTTTTAATACATTTCTATTTCAATAAAAATTTTCTTCATTACAAATTACATTATCAGCATGAGTAAAAAGTTGTTTCTGTTTCATTTTATGTTCTTTACATTTGTAAAATAAAATATTTTTATAAAATACGTTTATAGACTTTCAAAAGATATCTATTTCAAATAAATACTGTTCTTTGTATTAAAAAAATGTTAATACAAAATTTTAATGTAAATGGTCATTAAAAAATAATAAAAAATGTGTCACGGTTTCCACAGAAATATCTGTTTAAAACCTATTTTATTTATCCATCTTCCTCTCCTCCATTGCTCTTATTCATACATCACCACACACACACACACACACACAGCTATCGCCTCAGAGAAATGACCGAAGCGCTCTGACTGCCGTCCTCAGAGGTCACCTTGTGGTGTCAAACACGGCTTCAACAACAGCAAACCAAAGGCTTTAGAGCACGAGAAAGTGACTAAACATGATCCAACTGAGAATGTGTGGTGCAATCAAACCCTCCAAACTCAAATTACAACACTTTAGAGTTGATATAGGAAGTCCAAAAGTGAGATCATTAGTGAAAATGCTGTAAATTTATCATTTTTAATAAATTGCTTGATTGCAAATTCTATTATTATATTAACATTACAATTTGAGCAACTTCTGCTTCAATGAATGAAAAATTAATATTTTACAAAATCTTCTTTCTTAGTTAAAAAATGGTTAATATTAGATGAATCACATATTTATAATGTGGTCCAAGTTTTTTTTTTAATACATTTCTATTTCAATAAAAATTTTCTTCATTACAAATTACATTATCAGCATGAGTAAAAAGTTGTTTCTGTTTCATTTTATGTTCTTTACATTTGTAAAATAAAATATTTTTATAAAATACGTTTATAGACTTTCAAAAGATATCTATTTCAAATAAATACTGTTCTTTGTATTAAAAAAAATGTAAATGGTCATTAAAAAAAAATTAAAAATGTGTCACGGTTTCCACAGAAATATCTGTTTAAAACCAGACAAATGATAAATTGAGTGTTTTATAATTAAAGGAAACACAGGACATATGTGGATTGCTTAATGCTTACTGTGACACTCTTAAATGCTTTTTATGTGTAGTGTCGACACTGAAGACTGGAGTAATGATGCTGAAAATTCAGTTTTGCATCACAGAAATAAATTACATTTAACAATATATTCAAATAGAAAACAGTTATTTGAAATGGTAATAATATTTCACAATATTACTGTTTATACTGTATTTTTGATCAAATAAATGTAGCCTTGGTGAGCAGAAGTGATGTCTTTCAGAAACATTTAACAAACCAAAAAACCTTACAGACCCCAAACTTTAAAGTAATGTACTGTTTTTTCATATCAAGATTTTTCAACATAAAATTTAACATGATAAATCATGGTGAAATATAACAATAAAACAGTCCTTTTGAAAATCTGACCTGCTGAAATAGTTACTGTTTCATTAATCCTTAAAGGGATAGTTCACCCAAAAATGAAAATTAGCCCATTATTT